CCCTGGCTCTATGGTAAATATTGATGGAAGGTAACCTTGTTGTTGTGCTATACAGAAATAGTACGGTGGCCCGCGCAATTGCGTGGGCGATGTAGTATTGAATAATTAACAGTGCATGTATCCTTTACTCATCTAAAAATTTGGAAAATCTCAAGAAAATTAAAAAATTGGAATACTTAGTCCAATGAAAAATTATGCATCATAATTCGGTTAACTTTTGCACACAATTCGTGAGAATATATATACTTTCCCGGTGCTCACAAAATCATTATTATCTACTAGTATTACATTACCCCAACTAGTGTTTCTAAGGTGCGTCCCTCAAAGTCACCTCACCGAAAACTTACAGTGCTGGAATATTTGACATTAATTAATTTTTCATGGTTGTACAATTTTGACGATCATGTGAAATTGATGCACAAATATTGACAGTCATAATCATAACAATAAATATATATGTCATGTTTGTTACGACAAAGAAAATATGAAAAATTTGCCCTGTGCGTGATGGATAGGACACTGTTGACCTTTGGAGAAAGATTATTCCAGGATCAAAACACATACAGTTTGGGACTTGATCTATAGTAAATAATGACACAAAGCAACCTGGTTACTGCGATTATAAGAAGAAGAATTATAGCTTAGTATATGTGCAATTAATGAACTTAACAAACATATATGCACAAATATAATCTCAGTTTGCGGCAAGCCGATGGGCGTGGAAGGGGGACCAGAGCCAGCCGAGGCGCCCCGCAGCCACCATAGCTAGCACGGGTTTGCTAACCGCTCCTTCAGTGGCAGCAAGGTAGGGGACGTGGGAGGGGGATGCGGTAGCGTGATTAAGGGTTCCGATGCGGTAGCGACGAATTGGAGGTATTGGGAAGCACTAAATTGCACGTTGACAAGTAGCCATAGATATGTTGTTGAGTTTGGTACTGAAGAACCCATGGGATTTCATCAAGTACATTTGTCAGGTCACGTTACATGAGGGTGTTTCTACCATGAGGGTGCTCAATGTGTCACCATTTGACAGGTGACGTTACATTTGCCAGCTCACGTTACACGAGCAGGTGCGTGCGGTAGCTACTCCTCGACGCTGACCAAGTGAGCGTGACAACGGCTGCTTGGGGCGGAACAGGTTGACAGGGGTCAGCTGGGCAGTGAGGCCGTGGCGATGTGACAGGAAGGACGGATGCAACTGTTGCACGTTATGTGTTTGATGAAATGCCTCCCGGGAGAGAGGAGAAGAAAAATAAGATGATAAGGTGGAGTGCAACATGTCTTCTTGTGTCAAAACCACGCCATGTCATTCATGATTTTTGGTAAAATCTGGTTTTGGGCGAAACGTACCCTGTTTTAAGACTTGAGGGGCCAAATGTCGCCCAAAAATTATTTTTCATCGACAATGGGTGGATTTTTATTATCTCGAAATGAAGCATCTAGAGGATAAAAACACAGTGAGCACACACGCGGCCTCTACATAGCTAAGATGCGCACGGGCAACAGCAACACACACACACAAAAATCACGCTGACAACTAGCAAAGCCAAACAAGACCAAAGCTATGCCTTGGTGGAGTAAAAAGAAAAAAACTTTGAATCGATCAAAACAATGATCAACAAGCTATGATAGCAACCATATGAGCACCAACTATCGTTTGACATCATATGTGATGTCATCACCACTTTCCGCGATCCCAGCAGCTACACACATAGCACGGTCTTGATGTGAGGTGCCACGCAAATGAAGATTGTGCTCGCGCAAGCAGATAGTCAAGCCACGGCAGAGGTCGGTCGCCACCAAGAACACCGAACAGTGAAGGTCGTTGTCGCACTTTGCAACCGAGATCGACGGAGGAAGCTCACTGACACCATCAAATCCCAATTTGGGATGCTCCGACACCGTCCTCATGCTTGGTCGTTCTCGTCCGTGGTGGATGAATCTGACAGCACAACAAACACGTCATCGCCACCGGATGTGAAGATTCCAATCCCAGTCCCATCTCGGCAATCATCAAGCAGTGCAGAACCAAGCCTTCGCCCACGCGCCCGAGCGGAGATCCGCCGTAGCAGGCTCGCCCGTGTACCTGCAAATAGAATTTTTGCCATCGGCACCTTAGTACCATAGACTATCAGCCGAGCCATAAATCCACCGTCGCCGCTGCACATCCGTACCCTCTGCCTCAGGCCACCGTCCATAGATCTCACTCCGGAGCAACGATGATTGAGTCAGCTCCAAGACAATGCCCAAAAATTCTTAAAGGACCAAATATAGACTTTTGGTGAACTTGAAAGATTGAATCAGTAGAAAAATCTAGCCCTTCCGCCAACTACTAGCAACAGATGTGGACAGCGGATACTAATCCACAGACATTGAAGTATGTGCCTAGCTTGAAAGTAACGGGGTGTATTGAGTAGCAAAATTGTTCTGGGTACATTTGGGGTCGGTATGGGCGGGAACAAAAACAAAGGAAGGGGGGAGGAGAGGAAGCCATCTAGGATGACCCGTAGGAAAATACAACTTCGAGTTGGGGCTAGGGGGTACATTGCCCTGATTCTAGTTCTTCGAGGCGCAAGTTAAACGGCATTAGAGTCGCACTGAAAATTAAACTGAGAAAAACGCTCAGCTATCAAAAGTAGACGTCCTCCTGTTACTTTTTTAGTGCAAGGCAGTGACATTCGACATTGATGTCTGAGTCAATGTGGAGCCCGTTATATATACAGTAATCACTCTACACATGACATCACTGAGGAATTTCGTCCACTATTTAAGATGTCACTTTACCAGCAAAATTGAACGATTTGAACATGATAGATCAAGAAGAGTTGTTATTTTATTGGAGAAAATGCAAGGAGAAGACCGGAAATACAGTTTAAGATTTCTCTATCTATTTCGTAGACTCTTGTGTGAACTAGATTTTATTGTATTAAACTCAATGAACATATATCGAAAGTAGGCACAGTTATTTGCGATGAAGTCATGACATACCTACCAAATGCCTATATTTATATACTGCCTAGTAAAAGAGATAGTAAAATTTGAGCTCCTTACATATACCCTTCCCATTGAACTACCGTTTTGCTCTCCTTCCTAGCTCCATAATGTGCCATATCTTGTCATCATTTGCTTTGCTCCTCAAGTACTCACAGGCATTAGAGGTGTCGGGAAACACTGACCAACGCGTTGTCATGTACTGATAGAGATGTCATTGGGCTTAATAAAGAATAGCCCATGAGATTTCAATAAGTACGTTTGCCCGATGATGTTGCGAGGGAGTAGTTCTACAGCAAAGTTTCCAGACACCATCTCCAGCGCTACAAAACTTGGTTCAAAGAAACATTCTAGAGGGTTCAATGAACTTCCTTGTTCAATTCGGAGGGGTGCCATCGCCTTTGGTGGATCCCGTATTAAGACGGCAAAGAAGTAGCAGGGAGAGATCCTTACAAAAAAAAAATGTTAGTACTCAGTGGAGGAAATCATCGCCTTTGATGATATTGCGTACATAGTTCATGTCCCCACGAACCTTTTATCCTTTTGCTCATCTCTAATTTAGCAATTGCTGCTCAGCATAGATCTCATTGGATGCCCAAACCAATACCGTCTCCAACAACAGTGCCACTCTATTGTCTCATACTAGTGTTAAAGCTCGCACACAACTAAAGAAAAGCAAGAGAAGCTTGCTCCAGACACCGATGAAGAGAATCGGTGCAGTCTTCAAATCCAAAGAATCACTCTTATTTTACAACTAAACAGATTTGTGCTGTCATTCATACATACAAAAATCACAGAACTTGAGTTCCTTGTAGTATTGAATGTACTCCCTCCGTCCGAAATTACTTGTCGCGAAAATGAATGAAAATGGATGTATCTAGAACTAAAATACGTCTAGATACATCCATTTCTCCGACAAGCATTTCCGGACGGAGGGAGTACTTAACAGTACATGGATCATTTACTCATTTTAAAATTTGGAATAACTTCATCCAATGCAGAATATGTTTCAGGATTCAGTTAGTCTTTGCACACAAATCGTGAGAATGTGTATACTTCCCAAGTGCTCACAAAATCATTATTATCTACTATACATGATCCCAGCAGAACAGAGAGCAAAGCTTGATGCACTATAAAGGAGAAGTTATCCTGACCACAATAGACAGCTGCTATGCAGAGCAATAACTGACTACAAGAACTATGACACACACAAGAATTTGAGAGTAATACTATGACACTAGGATAAAATAACTGAACCTACAGCTATAACTAAACAGCTAACCATCGACTACTCTGTTTTCAGTTGACACTGTCCAGAAGCTAGCACCGGATCATCATCTCTAGTCCATCGCTACAGAACTTTAAGTTGCACCCTTCATATAAACAAAATCATATCGAATGATGTCGTGTTATCTCCGTCCTTCCGTCTAAATACAGAAGCCACTACCATGAACTCTCTTTCACCACATCGGACCTCCAAGTGAACCTGCACCCGTAAAAATGTTGTTTGATTAGCCAAGCAGGTTGGACAAACAACAGCAGTCTGAATTCCATTCATCGGTGTGATCCTCTGTGCTAGCAGTGGAAAGCAGTTAGTTCAGCAGTAGGATTCTACCGAGAGAGAATATGCAAGGCAAACCAGATCGATTTTATATCAATAAAAACAGTGTGCAATTGACAAATGCTATGCAATGGTTTGCCCCCTCTTAAATCCTAGGAATATTGCTTCTCGGAGTCGAATCATATCCTGAACTCCAATACCATTTAATTGTGTGCACCCTCAACTATCCACGTTGATGTTTGAGTCAGTGTGGGGCTTGTTTCATTACAATAATCACTCTGAACATCACTGAAGAATTCCATCCACTATTTAAGATGTCACTTTTCAAGCAAAATTGACCAATTTGAACAGGGATAGATCAAGGAAGTGATTATTTTATTGGAGAAAATGTGCGCCAAAAGACAAGATATACCTGCTATACATAATGCAGATCAAGATTTTGCTTTGTCTACAGAAGGGCTTCACATGTTGCCTTGTTGTGTCCTGCCTGCTTGCACCTGCTACAGAGCCGTATAAGAGTGGTTACCTTGTTGGGATTAAACCTCTTTCTTCTCGGTTTATCTGATGTACGTGGCTTGGGAGGTGGGATCGTTGCCCCAGCACTAAAATCGAAGGTATCCATGTCAGGAATTGGGAGGGTTGTTCCTGAGTATGTCATATGGTAGCTCTCTATTTTAAAAAACTTGGAACAGTAGTCATAGAAAGATCGTCCAATCCTGTTAAACACAGCAACAGCATGCATACAAGGGAGGCCAGAAAGTTGCCACCTCCGACATGTGCATTCCCAATTTGCAAGATTAACAACAAAAATACCGCTGCCCCGCACTTCAAACACAGTCTCGGAAGAGCACAGCACGGTCAGCTTACTAGCCTTCAACATCTCACCCTGCGCTTTGAAATCCATGGAAGGTGTTAAAGGCCCTTCCCATGACTTGCAGGCTTCACGCCTTGCTTCCATTATCTCCGCTACTTTCATTCTCAGAGAGTCTATCATCAGCACCATGGACCCCTCCTTCTTTGTTGGTATCCAGTTATTAAATGCATCAACAATGTCTGATGAGAAATGGTCATACCGACAGCCTGTGAAGACGGCATCTGACCAATGCTCTGGCTTACTCGCAATGATCCAGTCGGCAGCTTCAGTGGATATATTCCTTATGCTCTCAATTGATGCATTAAACTCATCAATGCTGCATGCTTCGGCCGCACGAGTAAAATCCTCGACCATCGCATCTCTTATCTGTTGCGACCATGGTCCCTTCCTCAGTTCTCCTCTGAATTCCTCCATGATATGATGTAAACAGAAGGCATGGTGGCTATCTTCAAACACATGTGGGACAGCAGCATCCAGACCCTTTTGTCCATTGGACAAGAATGTCATAGCATTGAATGGGTAGCTGTGATATTGGAGAGCAATCCTCAGCTGCATCAAGAACCAAACCCAGCTGTCATAACTTTCATCTTCAACCACATTAAATGTCACTGGAAAGACACCATCATCTGCATCAACTGCAGCCGCAACCAGCAACTTGTACTCATTTGTCGCCTTGAGCGGAACCTTGTCAAGAAAAAGGAGGGGCCTGCACCCATTTGCAAAACCGTGTAAAGAAGCATGGAATGCGATAAAAACACGGCGTGTATCCACTGTCTGAGACAATTCAAGTGAGCTCCCTGGGTTAGTCTGAAAAAGTCTATCACGGTACCAGGGCAAATGGCCAAATGTCTCCCTCATAACATGAAACATCTCCTTCTGTGCCACTTCTCTACCTCGCCAAACCTGTGAATAGGTCAGCAGAACTCCATATTCTTCATATATTTCTTTGACAAGGTCCTTCGGCTTGAGTGATGCGTTCACACGCAGTTTCTCCTTAATGATGGTAGTCAACCACTGCCTTGTTGCTCGCCGCTGACCCTCTCCACCTTCTCCTCCACATGTGTGCACATCAGTCATTTTCTTGATAACAAACTTCTTGCTACGAGATGACTCGGATGCATGCAATCGCCAGGTGCAGCCATCCCCAACACACTTCACCGTGACTCTGGTGGTTTCATTTTTTATGAAACGGTACGCAAATCCTTTCGCGATGGAATACTTGCACAACTGAGCTCGGAAATCCTTCACGTTATCAAATTCTTGACCAACACCTTTAATAATGTCATCCCAGAACATAGTGGGGTTACTGGTAAGTTCCTGGGGAGGATCTATTATGATCTCCGAACCATCATATGCATTGATTGAATCATCAAAAGGCCCAATTAGTTCCCTGGAAAAGCCATGCAAGCATCTTTGAAACTTACATTTTTTGATTTTTACGAACTTTGTAAAGCACAAGACATAACTTGACTAGATAACTACCTTTGTGTGGTATCAACGAGAGCAAGCTTGTCCTGATTCATAACCTCTGGAGCAGAGGAAACAGCTTCAGCTGTGGTGGCAAAGGCAACATCGCGTCCAAATTCTAGTTGAAAATCCCTAGTTTCATCAAGGACAATAAATTATTTGTTTCAAACAGCATCATATCACAAGTAAAATGACTGATCCTTACAATCTACAAGTAAAGTAATCGGGCATAACAGTCCAACCAACAGATAACATACACATAATCATGTGGCTGCAAGAGAGGCATCTATCTATGATGAACTAACAGTTCACTAAGCATTAACTGTTCACACTAAGTAGGGTTCATAAAAACAAATCTGTAACTCCTTCAAATGAAAGAGGAACAACAAAAGTAGCAGTAACAGCAAAATGCAGGGACTGCAAAAAAAAATATCACCCAAGGCACGCAATCAGAACATGAAACCATTCGAATAACAATGCGAACTACAGAAAGTGTCATACGGGAAACTAGGTAAAAGAAACAGCTATAACATGGGCTACGAGTAGGTATGCATTAGCAGTTGCCATAGCTGAAAGGAAGGGGCAGAAAGAAATTAGTGAAGATATGATCTGTTTCATAAACAAAATGATGCTATAAACCAAGGTGCTGGCGAGATTAAACTAGAGATTTCACCAAACATGAATAAATGAAAATGATGGTATCGGTGGCAGAATTTGGCAATCTGCGCCTCTTTAAGTAGGCATATGTTTAATTGACTGCAGAAAGGCTACATTAAAAAATAGGGATTCTGAATTTCCTGTTTCTGTTTTGAAGGGCACAATAGATTGTAACCAAGGTACATGTCATAAGGTAGCAACAAAGGCACAACAGAAATGCAAAGATGTAGCAATAGAAATGTACTCGTTGTAATCATTTAAAGTCTCCACCGGTCTTGGCTGATTGAAATCATGGGTATTAGCTTCAACTGCAGCACCGGTAGCATTTGGGGTTTTCTTGTTACTTTTGGATGCCCTGAAGACACACACACACAGACAGACAGAGAGAGAGACTATTGAGTATAATGTGAAAAGAGTAATAACTAATAACACTAGAAAAACAGAATCAGAACAGTAGCACCTACTTGCTTTTGGAAGCTGGCCTTTTCCTTTTGTCACCCTGTGCATTAGATCCAGCTTTAACAGTGGAAGCTCCAGTGTAAGTTACAACACTCCTAGTTACCCAGTATAACAAAAATGTCAGTCACATCAGGAGATGCTTGATATTGGCTCTTCTAGATGAACTATAAAACGGCTACACAAAACAGTAGAACAAGACATACCTGTTCTCTCCTGTACTAATGACAAAAACGTCTACTTGCGCAGCACTAGCAGTAAAGTCAACCATCCGTTGCAAATCTCGGTCACATGAGATTGTGATGAGCGTCCTGTTGTTGTTCGGCAGAAAGTATTTGAACGACATGTCGGTGATATCGACATGGAACACCTTGGACACCTCATCCTTGAAGCTGTCCAGCGGCATCTCCCGAGAGACGTCGACGGCGTGCGCTTCCCCCCCTTTGTAGACCAAATTCCCATTGGGGCCAGAAGTGAACTCCCCGCCGTGCTGGCAGATGGCCACCACAATACCACCCTCCGCCATGCGTCCTCTGTTGTTCCGCAATAACACTGCATTTTAGAAGAAGAAGAAATTACATTCTAGTACTGGAAGATATATATACCATAGAGTTTATTTCCCCTTCAAATATGTAGATCCGCAGATATAATTCGTTTCCACTTCAACGAATGATTATGCAAACAAGAGGCTCCAAGGATTTCTGGTTCAGAAGAATAGGGACTCTAGAACAGAGGTTCGGCTGAAGATGAAATTTCAGACAATTCATCAATTGGAAATTGTATGACAAGTTGGCATGGAATTTCTTACACACGAGCAACATACGGATGCAATCTTTCAGGAGATACAAGCACGACAAGAAAAAGAAATCACCTTTAGGC